GGAGCATGCCTGGAGATTTCACCGTGCTCATCCCATGTGTGTGTGGCTCCGGTGTTCTCTCGTTGGGTTCGCTACGACCACGGTGGCATGAAACACCTAAAATTTGGGTCACAGTGGATGCTGATGGTTAGGTTCCAGGCCTTTGTCTAAGAGTGATAACTGTCTACTGACTGTTACAGGTTTACTGGGACAGACCCAACATGAAATCATAGGCTCTAGAAACTGGGTCAGTGGGATATGGCTGAAGCACATGTCCAGTACGTGGACGATTTCATTCCTTCCAAATCCATGTGACGCCTGTGACGCCATGCGAGCTGAATGGCCAAATGATCGCCAGGCAGTCTCCGAATGGATCCCCCCTGTTCAGCAGGGAGCAGGGAGAAGACTTCAAACACGGGGAGTTCGTTGGAAGTTCCTCGCCCAACTCATCACTCTCGCCCCGAAGCCGTCATTCGTCGCGTGTGGTGGGCAGTCGCGGGCACCTGCGAGTCTTGCAGCAGAAAGCACACTGCTGAGGTGCGGATCACCTCAGGAAGAGCAGGAAGAGCAGGAGGAAGAGGAAGCACTTTGGAACAAATCGCTGGGACGTCACTCTCCGCTGTTTGACCAAATCGATCGCGATAGGAAGGAGTGCAGGCTTCTGAGAAACACTATAGAGATACCACGGTATAGACTTAGAACAAAGCAAAGCAAGCACCAAATACACCGGCCGACAGCATTCTGCAACTTTGAGAATGGCGAACTATCGCGGCCCCAGCTTGTTGGATTGAGAAGCATGCCCCAAGTTCCAAAACAACTATAGAATCCTCCTCACGATTATGTGAGAGATCAAACTTCCACTGATTTGAATCCACTTTTATCTCTACACTCCTTGAAACCATTATGGTTATTTGGATGGCATGGCCGATTTCGGACCCTGAAATCCGAAGACCTGGCCCATGACCAAACAGGTGTTGATGTCCGGTGACCAATCACTTTGGGGAGTGCGACGTCCTCGATCGATATCTCATCGGCCTCTGTCGGTTCCGTTGGTCTTCAGGTGATTTTTGTCGGGGTTGGAAAAGGCGATCGTAGCTGGCTTCTCCAGAGACAAGAAACGACGAACTACGCCTACTCTCTGGAAACGCCTAGTAGCTGGCTCAGGCAAAATCTCACACATGGCCTTCCTCTCCGTGGAACTTTTCAACATGGAAGTGGACACCACTGATTTGTATACAGGAAACTGCCCTTTCTTGGGGCCAGTGTCCACTGCCATGATTGTTAGAGTAAAGGGTCAATGCAAAAGCCCGCACGAAGCATGGACGCCATGATCATCATCCCAAACACTTCCATGGACCCTGACCTCACGAAACTGAACACAACTGAACACCACTGAACACTATTGCAACATATTATAATCCACCAAACCAACATCGATGTAATTGTTCATAGTGCGACCATGTGCGACCAACCATCGACCTCTACAAACCCAGTGGCCACCCAGTGGGGACGTCTCGGCTCGCCCTCGGCTCCTCGGCTCCACCGCGACGCGAAGCGAAATGGCCCAGGGCACTCGGAGCACCTCAGCGGCCACCTCCTCGGGCGCCCGCGGCAAGGTCAACATCGCCAGCTCCGTGCGCTTCTCGCGCTGCTCCCTGCGGCAAGACACAGCGCCAAGGTCCGTCCGAGGATCCGTGGCACAGGAAGCGTGCACGGAGAGGCATGCATCACAGTCACATGGACAGTCGGAGCCCAGTGCTTTTTTCAACACCGGAAGCGAGAGGTGTAGAAGCGGACGGCCGTATACAGCTGTAGGGGTTCCGGATTGACCGCCGCCCAGGGACCCATCGTCGCGGCCTCAAGTAGTACATGAGTGCTGAGAAGGGTATCGCGTTGCACAGGAAGAAGATGAAGAGAGCTTTCCCGCCTGGCAGGCCGAGCCATCTCTAGTTGCAGTAGGGCATCATTACCCAAATAGGTAGATCACCTTCGATCTTTCTGGCATGCTGACATCTGGATGTGAAACTGCACTAAAATGAACAACACGCACCAGGCAAACTCCAATCCATTCACTAGTGCCTTTGAGTTGGGTTGATTTATGTTGATTTATATCCCAATCACCATACGTACAATACAACATTCAATGTCAGTCATCCTCCCTCTACCTCGCCATACCTACCACCCTACCACCCTACCACCGACTCCTACCACATCCGACCGACGCTTGGGACCCCGCGCCTCGGAAACCGGGACTTGGGTCCTTCTCCGGCTCCGGAGGCCGTGGCACAAACCCCGCGCCTCCGGCGTCACACGGCCACGGACTCCGCGGGCGCGGAGCCGAGGTGTGTCATTTAAAAGGCGTTGAAGTGTGGCCAACCCCCTGAGAAGCTAAATCATCCGATCAACAAGAGTCTTAGGATGCCTTAAGTACCCCAACACTGGAAGCTTGCAGCCTAAGGAAGTGTTGTTTCTCGAGGATGGGGGGACTGGAATGCTGAGAATGAGCTTGGCTTCAAGGTATGGCGAAATACGCCCTCAACCTTTAAGTTTCACCGAAATAGTACAATCATGTACAATCCATGAGGTCTAACAAACTATTTAGCATGTATACTGACTCTCTTGTAATTAGTCTGTTTCTATGACCATCATCCACTTCCTCAACCAAGTCGCGTTCTGAAAGCTCTGACAACCCGGGAGATGCCGTGGGCGGTCCCGCATTTCCCGGCGCCACCACCTCATTGCCGCATGCAACATGGGTGGAACTTGGATTTGGCAACAGCTAGGCAGCAATTTCACATCGATGAATCTTGCTCCAAGGCCGAAGGCCTCATTTCGCTCGGACAGCCTCCCGCAGCTTTTTTGGAACCCATGTCGGCATATGTCGGCCCCTCACCAATGTACTTTGTCGTATTTTTTTGAATGAAGTGGACTGGGGCCTCCTTACACCCACTTCCTCAAATCTGTTTCACACAAGAGTGGAACATCTGCTCCAGCCACCAAGAGTGGCAAAGCCGAAGGGCCTGGGTTGAAAGAAGCCGCTGGTGCGGGACACGCCTAGGCTGAGCGGCAAAGAGAGAGGGATGAGGCAACTTTTGTCACGTTTTTGCCCGGAATGTTCTGGCATTTGTTTTGTGTTTTTCGTTAGGGTCATCCATGACTCTTCTGCAAAAAGGTCTGAGAAAAAACAACATTGGCTTGTTGGTGTCCTTTCCTCTCCAGTCGCGCAAAATCGTGTACATACCATGCACATCATGCGAACGGCCATCCATCTTCTGGGGGACTGACACATACCCCTAGTCTTCAAAGACCATCAAATGAATGGTTGACCTGGTGGTGTAATGTAAAAATCCTTAGTATGGTCGTTCGAAATTGTTGTTCGAATCAAGAACTTCCAAAAGCCATTCGACACCCCTAGCGATGCCCTTTTTCGATGCCATCGTCTGGACCGTTCGCGAGCCCAAACTGAGCCAGCGGGTCCCAAACAAGCTCCAGTCATACCTCTGAAACGTACGACTGGACCCTCCTGGCACCCACTCCAGTCCCACCTTCTTTGGGAAGGTGCGACTGGAGCCCTAGGGGGTGCAAACTCATGTGAACCAGCTGAAGCAGCTATAGGCTGTGAGAAATATGTTTGGGCATACCACTCCTCAGGGAAAATGTAAGTCTTGCACAAATGGAATCTTGGATACGACCCTGTCACATCGAATCCTGAGATCGGCCGCCGTGGCTTTTCGCTGATTTCGAGCTTGGGGAACCTTTCTCCATCTTCTCTTGACACCTCTTGACACACACACACACATACACACATTGCAACATCGATATCGATTTGTCGCCAGCTGACTGTAAGGCTGCTGAAGCGCGCCGGAGCAACATGGCCCCGTGCGGACCAAGGCAAGGCTGGGAAATGGTTGGTGCATGTCTAGCTGTCGGGGTTTGGAAACTCCCCTTTTTTTAGCTCCTGGAAACATCCATGGGAAATGTGGATACCCCCGGCGACCCTCGGTCGCGAGCAAGAGCAACAGCAAGAGCTAGATGTTCATGTGGGATCAATGCTTTGCAATTCGTTGGGTTCTCTTATAACATGCACTTGCAGGATCTTGCAGGTAGATTGCTTCAAAGGGACAATGGCCTGATTCTCTTGTGCTACATCTTTGCAACAGGCACACAGTTGTAGAATTCATTTCGAAGTCTCTACGCGTGCCTTCTGCCTACCTTGCAGCCTACCTGGCAGAGGATGTCGAAGTGCTGCAAATGCACAAGCAGCACCACGTGCACATGGTGGACAAGCAGGGCGTGAGGCAACCATGTGGTGCAGCCTAAATCATTCCGCAGTGTGGCAGTGTTCATCAATTGTGCATGTATCTCAAACCTGCCATACATCAAGCCAAAAGTCAGGGGCATTACATCACACAAAGGAAGTCAGCTTCACCCCTCAAGCACGAAACCGTCGTTATTCTGAGTTGTTCGGTACGTATAACCAGTGAGAGAATCCATCGGGGCAACTGCCGCTAGCCACAGTTGTTCGGCCCATCCATCATTGCAAACCATCACTGATCAAATGCACAAATGGAAAGCCAGGATGAAGCCTGACTGTGTTTAACCGTGATGAGAAGAAATTCTAAAATTCATTGTCATTCTACATTGTACATGTTCCTACTGTTGCCAAGGCCGAAAGCGACCATCATCACGGGAGACTGGCTTTCCTGGGTAATGGTTGTTGTTGGCGTGACTCGTACCTCAAAATTGAGAGGTTAAACGAAAACACAGTGACAACCAAACAATCACTGGATTTCTGGGTTCAAAAGACTGTCTGGAACTTTTCGGGTATCATTATTGCCATCATCCTGGTCATGCGAAGGGCACTTAGGGCAGTGCAATTGGACTACGTGCGTCCATTGACGCCACTGATCTGCCATATAACTGTTGCACCGTTCATGAAAACAGGTGCCTCTCATCAGCTTCCTTTCCCTCCTCCGCCGGCTGGCAAACAGGCAAAGCATCTGTCTGTCTGTTTGTCTGTCCTGCACCTTTTCGTTCTCTGGCAAGGCCCCCAGCGCGGAGATCACAGAACTTCTCATCAAAGCTTCGTTGGAAAAGAACCTCAACCCATGCCAGTATGCCGATGATACAACGGATACTGGGCGCAGGGGGAACCACGTGTCAAAAAAGGGGTGTTTTCCTTCAATGCTGGCCAATTGCCCTGCCAGGCGGCGGCTCTTGCTCCACGTGTGGAGGTGAAGTGCGCAACGACCATGTCACAAAGGCACACAACCATATACACTCCGACGAGCTCATCACATGGAAGTGGAGTGAAAGCCCGCTATTCCTCGGGGAAATAGTACGTCTAGTCTTCCTGTCAGGACCATTGGCATCCACGTTCATGTGATGTGCTTCGTCCGGAGTGTATCACTACACATCCTGTTCCCCGCTGCCCGCTGCCCATCACTGAGACCCATGGTGATGGCGAGGTACATGTCCGCCAAGCGGACCAATTGATCTGTGGATGAGATCATGTGCTTGCTGGCCGCCACCATCGCGGCCTTTGGAAGTCGGCTTTGGAAGTCGAATCGTGCCTTCCTCATTCTAGTCAGGTCATGGAGCCATGAAAAGCATCAAAAAGTCATGATGAACTCAGGTTTTGCAATTCAGGAACTCAAGCATTCTTTGAACATGTCTTTTGGGCAAAGCGCGTGCTGTGGTCTGGAACGGTCCTATGACATACCCCCCGCGCGGTTGTTTCTGGCAGTCCCACGTTCCTTCCGTGGTTGGACGGCTTCAAGGCTTCAGGAGGCGTCTCAACACAACGGCCGATCCGGAAAACTCACCATGGAGTCGTGGAGTGTTCAAAGCATGGTCATTGGTATGCGAGTGTCGATTTGGACTTCCATTTGGCGTTTGGATTTGGTATTCTATATATTCTGGACACCTCGCACCTGCATTGGTCTTTGGAATTCACGGTCATCCGAGTCTCCATCCCATCCACGTAACCATGATGATTGTTTCAGGGAGTGTAACAAACGGATGTGTGCCTCACATTGTCTGGTGAGCTGAGATCCGATGTTAAGGCATGTTGAGAGGCGCTTGGCGTTACCAAAGTCCGTGTCACGGTAGATCAGCAGCATGTGGCGGCCAAGCTACAGGGTGAAAGCGGTAAAACTGACATCATTGTTTCACATAACTTAATATTATAAATTATAAACCTTAATTTTCTTCCAAGTGAGGTGAAAAAGATTTCACAGAGTTTCTATAACTCCATTCATACTCCCATACTCACTGCAATTCTCTGGTTGGAACGGCCACCTCGAGACACTTTTCGCATGAAGGTCACCTCACCACACGGTGCTCGGCAACTGACCCACCGCACTCCACAATCTGACACACCTCGCCTGGGCCTGGTTGGACATGCCCGGAAGCGCCAAGAGCACCACACTCAGCGAGTCAAAAATCTCCATCGCCGTCTCTTCCGGCACCTGGCGCAAGCGAAGCAGAGTCGACAGGTTTTGTCATGTTTTGCCTTTCCTGAAGCGTATGTGGATTCACAGATTGGGGAACCCATGACCCAATGAATCCTTAATGGTTGCACCACAAAAATGGAATCCAATTAAGCATTTTGGGAAAACTTAACAAGTTTTGTTGCTTTTCACCACTAGCTGCACCCGCTTCCCCAGGCAAGGGGCCAGAGTAACTTCAGTTAGTTATCCCACACCATCCATGTATGGAATAGTTACTGGGTCATAAACAAACAACTTGACAACCATATACTATATATATACACAATATTCAGTAATTACATTGTGTGGATATATGTGTATATAAACATGTGTATAATGCTGCTACAGAATATACACTAGTATATGCATATATACCTTGTATGGACCTCTGAGAACTTTTTGGAGGCGAAGAGTGACACTAAAATCTAATGAATTGACTGACCTCCTTTTGGTGTAGTGCAGAACTCCATGATTTCCAGTGCTTCAGCTTGCCCATCTTTCAGAGCGAAAGCGACGAACACCACGGTTGGAGCGGGATGCCCACCCTGGAGCTCGATGTTCACCGGGTTCTTGCTCCCCGGCACCACGTGCGATTTTACGTGGCACCCAGTTAGTTGTCCCAGGGCGTCCTTGTATGGAATGGTTATACATCCATTGACCCCAATTTAGTCTGATGAGATCCTGCAAGCAATAGAAAACAGGTCGCGTTGGGCAAGCCCAACTTCTGTGGCGTTGCCCCAATGTTCCTGCATGTGTAGGTCGCTTTCATTTTCACGGTTTTTGCGGCGCGACTTGGCATGGCAAGTCGAGCAGTACCTACTCTCCCGCTGCTGCCGAGATGTTTCCCGAAGCTGCTTGACCCCAAACACCGTTCCCTTCCGCTTGGTCCAGGACTCCATTATGACCTCAAGTGGAAAACGAAGGTCGCCACTCAAGTCTCTCACTCTGGCGGCCGACATGGCTTGGGCACCTGCATTCCCAAGGTCAGTTGACGTTCTAGCAGCTGAAGCGCTTTGGTACAAAGCTCCTAACAGTAGCAGATTGGAAATGAACATCCCGAACCAGCTTCAGCCCCTGAAACATGGTCGCCAGCTAGCAGCTGCGTAGCTCCAAACAGGGACTCCAAGGAGCATCCTCTCGGGTAGCTTGTACAGTGGCAAGCGCATCTCGTTTCGTGCCGCTTCGTGTGAAACCCTGACGAAGTAAGTCAGTGGTGGTGTCCTGCAACTGGGAACTGCTGTCGAAAAGAGCTCGGATGATGAGAGGTAACACCTTGGATTCCACCAGGTGTGAGAGTTTCTCACCCAGCGGCGTGACGGGGTGCGAGCGCTTGAGGTCCGGTATGGGGGGATGTCTGGGGGGCCCTTGTTTCCAGAATCGGGTCAAAAGACGGTACCTCGACTCAATTCAATATCAAACAAATACCTTATACCGTCTTCCATCAGGTCCATCATCCAATTTCCTTCCAGGGGCCAGGGGCAGGTTCGGTCAAGAAGATCTGCCAGAATCATGGCCTTACAAAGGTGAGGGTTGGAACAGTCACCTCCAAATTGCATGTTCAAAACCTTGCGAGATTCTATTCACCCTACTAGTAGGGCTCCAACATGCTCCAACTATATCCTCAGGTTCGGTGGTTAGACCCCCCCTGGCACCCACCCCAACCACCTTCGAAACGGAGGTGGGCCAGGGTCACTTCCCTCTTTAGGGTCGCTTGTTGGGTCGGAACAACGAAAGCATCACTTGATCGCTTGATCAGCCATCTCATTCTTCCACTTGATCGGTGGATTTTCAGGTCACTTCCCTCCTACCACCCCCGTCCAACTCCCGCTGAATTCAGGTCGTGGTCCAGGCCGCCAAGGCTAAGGTAGAACCGCTGAGTCTTTGGTGCCCATCCACGCCCGAAAGCACGACCTGCCGAATGATCGAACATGGGTCCTCCCAGGGCCCTCCCAGGCCCTGACTCGTCATCGAGGAGGAGTCGAAGCCTCTAAGATCATCAGTAAAGGCCCGACCTCATTACATCTCTATAATGTGGAAACAATTTGACGTCTAAATGGATTAAAGTGGTGCTTGATCGAATGGCACGAAGCAACACTTCTAACGAGGTCTCACCAAGTCATTGGTCTGCAGGTCTCACCGAGTCATCGACGGCAGCAACCGATGCCTTGCGAGAAAACACTGCTGTGGAGCACCTGAGGGCTCTACAGATCTTCCAAACATCTACCAGCATCAATCCATCACCATCACCATCACCATCACCATCACCATCACCATCATCGTCAGCATCAGCATCATCATCATCATCATCATCATCATCATCATCATCATC